GAAAAACATTTTACAGACGCCTGACACAGGATCCTCATTTTCACCTGACGATATGAGTAAAGATTTAATTTACAATTCTTCCTAAAGTATAAGCGGATGTTTTACAGTACCACTACAAACACAGATGCAAATAGAATAAGCATCTTCATACTGACATAATTCTAAGAGCTAAAGAAAATGTTTAAGGAATATAAGTCCTTCAAATAATGAATGATAGCAAGGATCGCAAAAAGTGCCTTTGTGAGCAGTCAATAACCGACAGACTTTTTTGCTAAAGAATGAATCTCTAGCTTTCAGTTGTAATAGATGAGATGAAATGCTTTGAGTTTGGGGTCCATTGAATGTGAGTAATTTGCTTCATTTATCTAATAAAAAAAATAATTAAAAAAATCCAATTGACAAAATACTTTGTTGCACATTAATATGCACGGACCATATTATTGTGGTCTGTAGTTGCTTTTGGTCATGTTTGCACAAGCCTATTTGCCAGCAGCCATATCACCCTGTAGCCCAAGACTGGTTGCCCACTGAAGCTAAGCAGGGCTGAGTCTGGTTAGTACCTGGATGGGAGACCTTCTGAGAAAACCAGGTTGCTGCTGGAAGAGTTGTGAGTGAGGCCAGCAGGGGGCGCTCACCCTGTGGTCTGTGTGGGTCCTAACGCCCCAGTATAGTGATGGGGACACTATACTGTCAAACAGCACCGTCCTTCGGATGAGACGTTAAACCGAGGCCCTGACTCTCTGTGGTCACAAAAAATCCCAGGATGTCTTTCGAAAGAGTAGGGGTGTAACCCCGGCATCCTGGCCAAATTTGCCCAGTGGCCTCTGTCCATCATGGCCTCCTAATCATCCCCATATATATAAACCAATTGGCTTCATCACTCTGTCTCCTCTCCACCAGTAAGCTGGTGTGTGGTGGGCGTTCTGGCGCAATACGGCTGCCGTCGTATCATCCAGGTGGATGCTGCACATTGGTGGTGGTTGAGGAGATTCCCCCTTCTATGTAAAGCGCTTCGAGTGCCGAGAAAAGCGCTTTATAAATGTAATGAATTATTATTATTATAGAGTGGGGTACAAAAGTCTGATGACCTCAAGTGAAATATTTAAACCTATCCATACCACCAAACCTGTCCATAATCTTACCTGTATCCCACCTTAATAGCAGCACAAGTGTTTTGCTATACAACATCATGAACACAATAAGTACATTGTACTTATTTTTTTATGCAAGTACATAGTAGTTAAAACACCTAATATATAGTGACCAAAGTTAAATTACCAGAATCAAAATTTGAGCAAAATAAATGAAAGTAAATTTAAATTTAAGTTTTTTGGTATTTGATTTGTCCCCTTTTGCTGTCACTTGAGTTGACATCCTAAATTTGTCAAAATCCTAGTTTATTTTCAGGTTTAAAATAGTCTTTGAATACCAGATCACTCTGGATTCAGAATTTTGGACCCTACTGTATATCAGAGGTATAATCAGACATGGATGGAGGTAAATTCACACTGCAGTTTAGAGGACTGAAACAACAAATCCAGAACCAGAAATATAGGGAAAGGGGGATTTTTCTTCATGCAAAAACGTTTAATGACACAGACATCATCTGTGTCAAGAATAACTACATTCTTCCATGTTACAAATGAGCAGGTCTAATCAGAAAGATCAGGAAGGCCAATGCATTGCCATTTCCAAACTTTACCGTTTTAGCTCACACAGTCAAAGCAAACTCTCCTCAAGTCTGTTTTTTTAATATCACCCCAGTACTAAGACAATCAAGACCGGAAACCACATGAGAGAGACCCATTAATGTGCGATGGCTTACATCACAAGAAGGCCAGGTTGAAATATTTCGGATCTGCCAAGGTGGGAGGCTGTCACAACAAAAGTGGAGCCCATAGGAAAAACGATAACACATATCCCGATTTTCTAGCCATACATAAACAAATCTCTCAGTAATACAGACATTATGTTATAGGCAATGGCATAATTAGCATAATGCAGAAAAACAAACTACTTTCTTCTCAATCACTTTAATAATGAAACATCCAGGTCAAGTTTCATTAAATTCTACCATCTGATGCTCATTTTATGAAAACAAAGCAGAATTATAGTCTATATTGACTGGCACATGGTAGAATGAATAATTAGTTCTTAAACACTTTCTGACATTTTTTTCTGACTTTCAGTACAACTACTTAATAGTGCAATATTAATTACACAATAAAAAACAAAAACAAAGAATCATGCCAGACTTGAGCAGAATTAACCACTGCCCATATAATAATGTAATGTCTTGAAGAAAAAAAAAAACATTATTTGGGGTAATTAGCACATCATAAATAATTAGATATTTTTTTAAGCTACTGAAAATATAAGTCCTACTCAAAATATAACACTAAATGTATTATTATTATTATTTTATAATAGTAATTATCATTAATATATATATATATATATATATATATTAATTAAATTAATTTGTTTCATTGTTTAGTTTATGAGTATTTTATTATTATGTACAACAGCAAACAAACATTTAATGATATACTATATTTAATGCTTTGTATAAGAATAAATTATTTTTTTTTTTAAATATAACATAATATAATACATAAGTTAGTTATAGTATAACATTCATTAAATTAAGAGATTATAAAAATCATAAAAAAATAAAGAAAATAAAAAATACAGGTTGTCCAAACTAAATTCCTCCAAGATGGCCTATACAAACTGGAGCCCATAAGCAGCTTTGCCCATCATGATCATCATTTATGAGGCTAAGAACACGTGTTACAGCCAGGAGGAGAGCAGCACAGATACAGTGTCCATGACTATTGTTGTCCCAAGAAGTGACTCAGCTCATAAAAGTATTACGTTTTGTTTTCCGTGCCATTCTGGGCGGCAAGACGAGAGAACCCCTGAGGACCAGTTAAAGTAATAAGCTATTAGGGAGACAAATCGCATTTGCCTTTCAAATAGAGCCCAAAATAAGCAATTAACCAGAAAACAACCACATTAAGCTTTAAAAAGCAGCAGTAGGTGATCTGATCCTTTCACACTCGCCGCTCCATGTGGGAAACATTAGCCGTCTCGCTCTTAGCTCACTGGCACGGTTTAATCTATAGACGATGGGGCCTCCTTTCACACTTTTTCTGTCTCTCTCTTTCTTTTTTTCCCTTTCAGAAAGATAGACAGGTCTTAAAAATGCACGCCAAAGTAAAGAGCGTGTTTCTGTGTGAATGAGAAAGCAGACCTAAGTGCGTGTGAGGCCCTATACGGTGTCCGGACGGCATTGTTTACTCTGTGGTATGGTTTCTCAGGGCAGTGACTGCTCCTTGGGTGTCCCCACTGGGCGACGAAGAAGAAGCCTCACACGCCTGGTGTTGCCACTCTGTCTGGAGTGCTCAGCCCATAAGCTCCACACACGACTCAGCCAGCGATTCCTAAAGAGGATTTTTCCAACACTTTTCCTCTGTAATTATAGCTGCACTCTCTGTTCTGCAGCTGATAGAAAAATAACCACTTCATGATGGGTTATAAGGAGTTTGGGGTTGCTGTAGTGACAGAAACCTCTATTCTGAGAGTCAGACACAGAATACAAGGTGATAGGTTGTTCACGAAGGTCTGAGCTGTCTACTAATTGTTTTTCTATGGCTACGTTCCTACATGACAAGGACACAGTAGTCAGTGCAGTTGCAGAGCACTAAACACCAGGGTTGTGAGCCTGCCAGAACTGAATTGAGAATGCTTTAAATCCAATTCAACTCCTCAATTTGAATTTAAACTGAGGGAGCACACAGGATGCAGAATTGATTGATAGATAGAACAATAGACAGAACTAAAGAATGACTGATAGAATGACAGACAAACAGATAGATACATAGACAGATAGATAAATAAAACGACAGACAGATAGACACATAGATGGATAGATAAATGGAATGACAGAGAGACGGATAGATAAATAGAACGATAGACAGACACATAGATGGATAGATAAATAGAACGACAGACATACAGACAGATAGATGGTTAGATAGAAAGACAGACAGACAGACAGATAGACGGATAGACAGACAGACAGACAGACATACAGACGAACAGACAGACAGATAAATGGAAATAGATAAATAGAATGACAGATATAGACAGATGTATAAACAGAACGACATCCAGACAGATAGATGTACAGATAAATAGAACGACAGACAGACAGAGAGATAGACACAGATGTATCATATAAATAGAACGACAGTCAGACTGACAGAAACAGACAGACAGACAAACACATAGACGGATAGATAGATGGACAGACAGTATAAATAGAACGACAGACACATAGACGGATAGATAAATAAAACGACAGACAGATAGACAGACGGACAGATAGATAGACACTTAGATGGATAGATGTACAGACAGACCGACTCGAGACCCTTGTGTTCTGCTCAGCTGTCTTTGAACACAAGAGCTGTGTGTCCTGTGTGAACGGTTCCAGACTCCTGTTATTGTGTTCCATGCTGGAAGTCTGTTCTGGTCTCTGGTGGCTGTTGCTGACAGATTTGATGGAATGGGGGATTTCTATAACGCAGGTGTCCTCATTGACCTCTCTCTCGAATGTAAACGAACACTTTTCCATCATCAACACGATACTCTGCGCAAAGAACGCAAGTCTTGCGTGCTTTCTCACCAGGTAAACAGCCAAGATTGTGTTCATCCAAACCTGCACCTTTTTAATAGCTCCTTAATCAAAACACAATGTACCTTTTGCACATGATAAGCTCTTATTCATTGTTTGGCTAGGTAAGAGTCCCCTCTAGCTTGACAAGCATGGAGACAAATAGTCAAGTCACGCTGGGGCCGGTCCTCCCTGGAGAACGATGTAAGTGGTTTTAACTGTCCCTCTGACAGCGTTCACAATGGAGATGATGCTGAAGGCATTAATGACTTGGGGAAAGTGATATAATGAACAGTTTTGCTGTGTGAGGATCACCTACCTGCCCTGTCACCTGAGAGGCCGTCTGCAGATCTTCTGGTGCTGTCAGGGTTTCTGTCACCGCAGGTAATGGACCTGATCCAGAAGAACAAAAACACAATAAGGCCTTTACCACACACACACACACTCTCACAATACGCTCCCACACTCTGGTAACAGCACTAAAAGGGCCCCCCAAGAGACAATGGATAGATTACATTTCTCCTCAGCAAGAGTGAGTGAATCCCAAACAAAAAAACGAATTTTTAACAGCCTGCTCCTTTCAGCAGACTCCATATCATGATACAGTACTCACATGAATCTGCTCTTTCTGGATATGACCTGTGATTTAAGGGGATCGTCTGAGAGGAGAAAAGCAGGGTGGGGTTTTCTACGGTCTTGCTTGTGAGGTACTTACACGGCCCTGTCGAGAGAGGCCAACTAAAGTTCTTAACAGAGTTTATTTAAAGAAAAATAAACTTAAATTAATGAAAAAAATATATAATAATAGAAAGAAAAAAAACTAATACATTTACAATGTAATTTAAAAAAACAAACAAATAAAATTATGAATTTAAAAAATGCAAAAAATTCATAAAAAATATATTAAATTGTTCATAAATTTTTAGTACAAAAAATTGGCCTTTTGACCTTTAAAATATAAGTAATATTTCTAATAGTTTATGAAAGTTTTGGAATTTCCTTCAGAAATCATTCTAATGTTGATTTGGTGCTCAAGAAATATTTCTTGTTATCAATGTTGAAAACAGTTGTGCTGCTTAATATTTTTGTGGAAACTGTGATACACTACTATTCAAAAACATTTGGGGTCATTAAGTTCAAAAAAAGAAAAAGAAGGAGAAATTAGTTACTCATCAAGTATGCATTAAATTGATCAAAAGTGACAGTAAAGACATTTATATTGTTACAAAAGATGCCAGATAAATGCTGTTCAGTGAACTCTCTATTCATCAACAACCCTTAATGTTTTAAGGATTATACAGTATACTAAATTAGAAAATGAAAAAAATATCTTTAAAGATACATTTTAATAATATTTCTGTTTTTACTGTATTTGATCCAATAAATGCAGCCTTGGTGAACCTTAGGGACTTCTTTCAAAAATATTTAAAATATTTAATTATTCCAAACTTTTGAATGGTAGTGTATATAAAGTGCAAAAGCCCAATATATTTTCTTTTTGGACAGGATTGGCCTTTTGAGTGGCTTTATATCACATTAAAAAAAATGTGTCCCCAGGCCCCATGAATTTAAGCGATGACTGTAGGTACTTACAAGGTATTTCTGGCACGGCTTGCTCCGGGACATGGGGTTCCTCTTCAGGCCTTGCAGTTAGACTGTCCCCTTGAAGCCTAAAAAATTGTTTAAAAAAATGAGCATTAAAGGCTTTAATTTCAAATAAGTGGCTTGCATTTCTCCCCACAGTTATGATAGCTGTGAAAGATAACAGTGATAATACTATCATGTTCTCCATTCAGAGCAAACTCTCTGCTGAGGCTATGAAAGAACTCTGTGTAATGGATCAGTATCAAATAAAATCTCTATTTTTACCCAGTATCTTTGCTAGATGAGAACAAGTGGAGACAGTGAGTCTCGATTCATATAAGGTGATGAGACCATGCCAAAGCAGTCTATTTGTCTTATCACTATCAGGGAGGATGAGGATATGGGCAGGCTGGAATGTAGACAGAGCGTAACATAGGGGAACGCTTAAGACCTGACAACAATCTACTAATCGCCAAACAGTGCAGCTGTCTCAAACACCCATCATTTATGATGCCCAATCTCAGAGGATGCTAGGGTTAGGAGCTTTCCTAAAGAGCGGTTGTTCTTAAAGGAACAGTCCATCCAAAAATGAAAGTTCTCTCATTATTTAATCACGCACATGTCGTTCCAAAACACAATTTGATACTGCTCTTTACATCAAATGAAAGTGAATAGTAAACAGGTGCTGTCAAGCTACAAAAATAAGATCACCCAAAATTGAAAATTCTGTCAACAGTAACTCCCTCTCAAGTCATTCCAAACCTATAAGACGGTCATCGTCAAAGACAAATGAAGACATTTTTCTGAGAGATTTCTGTCCTTCCATTGAAAGTCCACTCACCAATTTTTACGGTTCAAAACGTTCATAAAGAGATCGTAAAATAAGTCTTCTGAAGAGACATGATCGCTTTGCATGATAAACAGATTTAGGCTTTTATTCACATATAAACAGTGATCAGCGAATGTACACTCACCGGCCACTTTATTAGGTACCCCATGCTAGTAACGGGTTGGACCCCCTTTTGCCTTCAGAACTGCCTCAATTCTTCGTGGCATAGATTCAACAAGGTGCTGGAAGCATTCCTCAGGGAGTTTGGTCCATATTGACATGATGGCATCACACAGTTGCCGCAGATTTGTCGGCTGCACATCCATGATGCGAATCTCCCGTTCCACCACATCCCAAAGATGCTCTATTGGGTTGAGATCTGGTGACTGTGGAGGCCATTTTAGTACAGTGAACTCATTGTCATGTTCAAGAAACCAATTTGAAATGATTAGAGCTTTGTGACATGGTGGAAGTAGCCATCAGAGGATGGGTACATGGTGGCCATAAAGGGATGGACATGGTCAGAAACAATGCTCAGGTAGGCCGTGGCATTTAAACGATGCCCAATTGGCACTAAGGGGCCTAAAGTGTGCCAGGAAAACATCCCCCACACCATTACACCACCACCACCAGCCTGCACAGTGGTAACAAGGCATGATGGTTCCATGTTCTCATTCTGTTTACGCCAAATTCTGACTCTAACATCTGAATGTCTCAACAGAAATCGAGACTCATCAGACCAGGCAACATTTTTCCAGTCTTCAACTGTTCAATTTTGGTGAGCTCTTGCAAATTGTAGCCTCTTTTTCCTATTTGTAGTGGAGATGAGTGGTACCCGGTGGAGTCTTCTGCTGTTGTAGCCCATCCGCCTCAAGGTTGTGCGTGTTGTGGCTTCACAAATGCTTTGCTGCATACCTCGGTTGTAACGAGTGGTTATTTCAGTCACTGTTGCCCTTCTATCAGCTCGAACCAGTCTGGCCATTCTCCTCTGACCTCTGGCATCAACAAGGCATTTCCGCCCACAGAACTGCCGCTCACTGGATGTTTTTTCTTTTTCGGACCATTCTCTGTAAACCCTAGAGATGGTTGTGCGTGAAAATCCCAGTAGATTAGCAGTTTCTGAAATACTCAGACCAGCCCTTCTGGCACCAACAATCATGCCACGTTCAAAGTCACTCAAATCAACTTTCTTCCCCATACTGATGCTTGGTTTGAACTGCAGGAGATTGTCTTGACCATGTCTACATGCCTAAATGCACTGAGTTGCCGCCATGTGATTGGCTGCTTAGAAATTAAGTGTTAACGAGCAGTTGGACAGGTGTACCTAATAAAGTGGCCGGTGAGTGTACATAGAGCACTTGAATGGTGTTAATTGGTCAAGCAAGTAGGTTTGTCGGTTGAGCTTCCGTTTACCAAATATGAGTGATCACTGATCAATGTTTATTTTTGAATAAAAGCCTAAATTAAATATGTTCATCATAAAAAGCAATTGTGTCTCTTTAGAAGACTTAAATTAAACAGCTGATATATTTTACAATCTTTTTATGACTGTTTCACTTTCAACTGTGACGTAGTACAACAAAATGTACTTTAAAAAAGGACCCACACTGTAAAAAAAAAAAAAGTAGAAAAGCATAAAAGCTACTAAAACAAAATACAACGCAATGCGTTATTCAAAATACACGGAAAACATTTGTAAAAAGTCAATATGGAAAATTCCGTCATATTACCAAAGTACATTGGGCCTTATTTTTATGGACTTTTCTTAGAGTGCACTTCAGTGTTGTGTGGCCAGGATCATATCATGTGGTTTAAGAAGGAGCATCCATTTAAAACATTTCAGTCTCACAAATTTCCAAAGGACTGGAAAATGAAGACATACAGCACGGTAATTATTTGTCATACCTTATTCTTCAACAATGCCGTATTCTCAAACTGTTATTTTGGAGCGGTTTCACTTCAGAACTATAAATCACCAAATGCTACAGTTACCAAATGATAGGCTTGATTCATTTCACATTTCTCAGCATTGCTATTGCATGCCTTTTCCTGTAAGCAATCAGGACAGTTAATAAGCATGATGACAACAGAAAACAACCCCTTCTCTTTTTACTGCTTTACCTGCCAGCCCATTGAAGTTTCTGTAACTTAATTTTTGTCTAACAATTTTTTCCCTCAACTTTTTTTCCCCTTCATTCTTTCTCATATGTAGAGAAGCCGATGAGAAAAACCAGATCTGGTTTAGCCCACCATCTGAGCAGTTCATTTTCATACAGCATTATTTTTGAATGAGTAATTAAAATAATGATGTTCAATGACTCATACAACTGTGCTTGATCGAGTCAGTCCCCTCATAATAGGAGAGAGGGGTCAGAACTTATACTCTTATAAACATCACAACATAGAAATTATAACATTTGGACTTTTATAGTACCCAATCCTGTCCTGAACTGGATCAGATGCACTTTTTCATTCATGGACCCCTATAAGTATTGCAGAAGTGTCATATTTGTAGCCAATTTAAGGAGCAGATGAAATTGTAGAGTGATTGTGCTCCTTCAAGATGAGCCGTTTTCCTAAGCATGTGTGGCTGTAGTCTACCACCTCATCCATCACATTAAGAGGACAGACGCGAGCAGATAAGGAATAAATCCCATGACCTTTCTGACAGTGGTGCACTATAGGTCAGTGGATCCCTGCAGAAGATTTAGTAAGGCTAAGAACACACGTTTTTCACAGTTTAAGCTTCATTTTGACTGAGGTTTGCAGGCATATTGCATAGTGTGAGAAAATGTTTGAGAATATAAAATCTTAATAATTAGACAAAATAAGAAATAGGGAAATCAAATTTGTTGCATTTTCGATTTTGTTTGTTTCCTTGCAATGCTTTGCATTAATAAAACATTAACATTTAATTGTATCCTAAATGAAAACTAGGCTGAGATGGATACATGTTCAGTCAATTCTAAATGTATTAGGCCTAATTTTCAGAATGTTTTGTCAACTGGATTTTTTTTTTTTTTGTTAAAAGATGTACACTGCCGTTCAAAAGTTTAGGCTAAGTAATACATTTCTTTTTAAAGAAAATAATACATTTATTCAGCTAGGATACATTAATTTACAGTATAGTACTTAACAAGACATTTATAATGTTACAAAATAATTCCTTTTAAAATTATAAATGAATGCTCTTCTACAAAAATATTAAGCAGCACAACCGTTCTCACATTGAAAATCAATGATAAGAAATGTTTCTAGAGCACGAAATCAACATATAAGAATGATTTCTGAAGGATCATGTGTAATGGCTGCTGAAAAATTAGCTTTGCTACACGATAATAAATTACATTTATATATATTAAAATAGAAAATGGTTGTTTCAAATTGTAATAATGTCTGTTTACTGTTTTTACTATATATTTTTTGATCAAATAAATGCATGAGAATAGGAGTTTACATCTCACAATTGCTGAGAAAAAAGTCAGAATTGCTTGATATAAATTCGCAGTTGCGAGATATAAAGTCAGAATTGTGAGATAAAAAGTCGCAATTATCTTTTAAAATGTTTTATTCTGTGGAGGAAATAATCTTCCATAGACACTTCTTTCAAAAATATATAAAAAATACCAACTTCAAACATTTGAACTGTAGTGTATTTTTATATATTTTTGTTCATTTAGAATAAAACTGGCGTTCAGATTATTGCCCATATAGACACCACCAATAAATCAGTGAATCCACTGAATAACCTTGAAGGGCTTAAGTATAATGTTACAATTTCTGACCGTCTAACGTCCGGACTTTCCAGACTGTTGTTAAGTATGAGGTTCTTCACTCATTGACCACTTGAGATAAATGTCCAGATAAAAGGATTCGTAAGTCTGAGCCTAAGAAAATGTGAAGAATGTGCCTGCGTCCTCCAAGTAGCCGCATGCCCAGGCAAAGAAATGGAGAAGGAAAAACTTAGAGAGAGATGGGCATCAGTTTCCTCGCGTTATATATTTAGTAGCTGCTGCTGTTTGGCAAGTCTTTAGGCAAGTCTGTACGGTACTAAAGAGATTCCAGGTGTACAAACTGACACTTAGGGTTGGACTTAAGAATGAATCATTCAGATGAATTGTTCAGGTTTTGAGAAGATCAGAGACAAAAGATTGATTAATTCATGAATCGGATATCACTAATGTGGAGTAAAAGCCGTATCCACAATCTTGCACTTTTAACCTGTGATTTAAACAAATGAACTTCCACATCAATGTGATAAACAGTCAGCAAACAAACAGTGATCTTGTGATAAGCGTTCAGCAAACCTACAGCGAGAAGATGTGTTCGGCATCTCGTAGACTGTGAAGAATGTCTAAAGTATCCGTGGTGAATCTGATATGGAGCAGAAATGAAAAGCACAAAAGACAAAGCCAAACAAAACAAATGTGGGGCAATGTAGGAGCGTGGCAGCCATCTAAACCAGCAGATTCTTTTTTTATCAGAGCCTGGCATCGGACATGAGCACTGAGTCACCCTATCGCAGCCAACAGTGTGAAATGTGATCATTTTGCCCAGCCACAAACTACAAAACAGGAAATAAAAACAGAAAACAAGTGATAACGAAGATTATCTCTGTGTGAGTATTATGAATACAATCAGATTTCTATAATGCTTTTAAGATATGCGTGCTTTCTCTCATCCACAGATGTTTCTTCAACTTTGGACACTTTCATGTCCTGGGGTAATTTTTATTTAAAGGTGCATTGTGTAATATTTAGGAGGATCTGTTGACAGAAATGCAATATCATATACATAACTATGTTTTCAGTGGTGTATAAAGACCTTACCTAATGAACCGTTATGTTTTTATTACCTTAGAATGAGCCATTTCTATCTACATACACCGCGGGTCCGCTTACATTGAAATGCGCCGACATGTTTCTACAGTAGCCCTAAACGGACAAACGCGTTTCGTCACTATGTTATTCTTTGTGCAAAGAAGCTAGCTAAAGTCAGCGAATAAAACACTGCCAATGATGAACTAGTAACAATAATATTCACAATAACATATCGTTTTACTGAATAAGTAAACATAATTTCTTAATTTATCTTTGTAAAGAAACCTCATTGCTTAACTGGCTACTCTCTGCTGTCTCAGACGACGACATCTTTTCCTGTCGGCCACCGTAACTTCTACTACCACTAGATGCTGCTAAAAATTACACAGTGCACCTTTATTTAACAGACAAAAAACACGGAACCGTTTTAAGGGTTTTCCATTATTTCTGCTACTTTTTTAAATGCCTTTTGCCTTTTAAAACCGTTATTACATGTTAAAAGATATTATCATCTAAACAAAGAGAAATAAACAAAACATTTCATATTTTTATTGAGTGAAAATGATTTATATACACTATTGTTCAAAGGTTTGGGGTCAGTGAGATTTTTTAACACATTTTTTTCACATTGCGTCCTTTCCCGTCAAGGTGTCAGATAATGCAAAAAGTGTGAACATATTATTTAATTGTGTTTATTTAGGATACATAAAATTGTAGCTGTGATAGCTTTAGCTAGACAAAGGAGTCCAAAGACAAGAATGTCATTACCACAATCCCCATTTCTGGAACAAAATGCTAATTTGAAATGTTTTACAAAACACACTGTGTTGGAAATGTTCCTGACTTAAAAAAATAAATAAAAAAATCTTCTGTCACAGATAGCCATTTTTCATAGCCAAATTAATTAAACTAGTGAGAGTATGAAAAGTGTGTTTTAAGAGCGTCCATTTTCTAAAAATCCAAAGGGCATTGCTGAAGAAACACCCAGATGTGGAGTCTTAAGATAACTGCACATCTCATAGTCACCTCAGTAAGATGAATGTTGTGCATTACCGCAGCATGTAGTCATTCACCTTTAGCTCTCAGAGCTTTAACTCTAGATTGTTGGAATGCTGCGTGTGGCCCTCATCTCCGGCTGAAAGGGGTTTGGTTGCGGCCTCTCAGCAAACAGAGGTCAGGATACGTGACTCGTGACTTGACTGAGATATATGGCAGTGCATTCTAGTGTGGACCTGATGATGACATTGTTCACATTGTGTGTACCGCTTGACATGTTAAATGGAGGTTTGCAGAATTGGCAACCCACACGCTCTAGTGGTCTGGTGAAGTCATTGAGTAGAGTAGAGCTGTTGGTAAATACTGAGCTGTGTAAATATTTACCTTGCACACCTTGAGCAGATGTTGAGAGTGACTTTGGCCTGGGGTTCTGAACAGTAGGAGCTGCGGCCCTGGCTGAACTTACTGCCAGACGGCAACAGGCCAGTGACCCCCTCCATTCGCAGGTCATCCAGATCCTCTGAGAGAGAGAGAGAGAGAGAGAGAGAGAGAGAGAGAGAGAGAGAAAATAAAGGATGATTTTAACTAGACTGGCTATTGATTTTGTTTGGAGTCTGAAAGATCCTGATGATGTCTGTGTAAAAAAAAAAAAAACATTTTGAAACGAACCTATTGTTTTTAATAATAAAATGAATACGTTTATATTATTTAAAATTTGTTTATTATTATTTAATAATATATTTTTTTATACTTCTTTTCATAAGTCCAGCTGATCAACCATTAAAACCATCTTATAATTTAAGCTGGTTTAAGTGGTTGCTCAGCTGGATTCATGAGAACGACATCTGTTTGGGTTTTATTCAAGTTCCACATATAGTGACAGGCACAAACAACTATTTCTATTCAATAAATCTGATTGAATGCTCTCTGATTACTGTTGTAACCGGACCTACTTGACCTGCTCCGAGGCGGATTTGAACCGGTTTCTCCGGCATGGTAGGTGCACTAACTAGCTTGCTTCTGTTACACTCACCCCCCTAAACTGCACTCCCACCCGGGTCACGGCACCAAATCTAACCGGGCGCACTAACAAGGATGCCAAAGACCGCAGTCTCTAGCATCAGTCAGTCGCCAGTGCGCCTCTTGAGGCCAGTGAGGTTGACCCGCACAGCTCTTAAACTAACTGGCCTCCTTTACACTGGCATTACAAACAGACTAAGAAAAGGAAAGCAGAGGAGAGAAAATACATGAAGAGAGATAAATAAAGCTAACAGCACTGTGTTAGGCAACTCTATACTCTCGGAGGTCACTGGTGACCCCCTCGTATATGTGAGCATATGCTCACAGCATGATCGCCTGCAGCCAGCTAACAATTGCAGATGGCAGGACCTGAGAGATGTGCTTCTCTTTACACCATAGCTGTAACGCTATAACACACTCTCAAACACGCAACTCGGCCGCTGGGTTGTCCCGGGACGTCATTCACTACCCTCCTACTCATTCATTTTTAAAAGTTAGACATCAACCTTACTAGTATTCCTCAATCAATTCATTATAAACAATATAACAAAAAAAGAATAATAAAATTATAAAAGAATGCCTGTTTTCCCTTTCATCTTAAAAAAAAAAAAATGATAGCGTCACTAATGACCCAAGGTGTGTAACAGTGTATGTTTTTCTGCACAACAATAACTAAATCATTCACCTTTACTCAATTCACCTTTATTCAACAAGGTGGCAATGTCTGATGCACAATGATGAAGTGATGTTACCGCAGGCAGAAAACAAAAGAATAGGAAGTATCATCAGTAAAACTTGAAATGGCTCAGCAATTTACTGCAGAGCAAGTACTAAACGCAATCAAATATTAGTGTCACTGTCACTTGATGGTGGATCTGGTGAAGAAGCTGTCAGCGATTAAAATATTGATTTTGAAGATGTTGAAAATTATAGTTTTGAGATCGTGAATATGAGCCAGATGCTGAATGTACTGGGAAATGAGCTCTGATGAGGACAGTGATGATGGTATAAAACATCTCCTCAAACTTAACCCTTCCAAGCTCCAAAAGGTAACAAAATATGCTTTATTTTATTCTTCTGTAATTGTTACTCTAAGAGTTTTATACAAGTGTATACACTGTAACCAATTTAACGTTTTGTACCAATTTAGTGTATTTATTATATAATTCAATAGATGGTCAGTTGTGCGTGTAATTGCTTTAACATGGCTCATCAAATCTGATTTCACTCAGATTTCACTCTGTTTCATAATGGCAATTTGACAAAGCATGATTCTCACAGGGAGTTTCGTTCTCATGTCACAAACATCATGATCCAGCAAGAACGAGGAGAAACGGGGTAAAGTGAGCTGCGTTCCGTGAGGTCTGCGCCTTACACCTGTGCCTGTGGCTGTAGGTGTTATATACCAAATGTACCACTTAAGCTGAAACCGCACAGCCAGTTGACTACGTGTGGAAGGACACACGTAAAAAAAGCACCTTGTAAGACAAGTAAGTGTTGCTAATGGCAGGAATTAGACTTGGCCTATTCATCCACGAAACTCTTACTCGGCTCACTTTACATCTTTCAAATGCCTCGTCATTTAGTTTGAGCTGCTAATGTGGGAAGGGGCCCGCTGGGAAACAACTTATCAGTCGCAATTAAAAGCCCCGAAACACACCTTTTTGTGTTCGAACGCTCCATGGTGTCAACGTGAGATTCCTCCCATAAGGCTTCGTGTAAGCATGGAGAGCATGTGTTTGTGCAAAAGGGCGGTCCCGCTTGGCACAGGAATGTGGACACTGCCTTGTTCGTGAAATACCAGAGAGTGTGGTGATATTACATGCCTCATTCATCATCACAGGTCTGGTCCAGCTGAGAGAGAGAGCCAGAGGCCATCTCATACACACACACGCAGCATTGTACATGAGAACACAGCTGTCCACCGTGAGAAAGTCTTTCTTTTCGGATTAGGCTACAGGGTGTGTGGTTCAGCGCTGAGGGGGTAACTCATGGCAATATGGCAGTGTTTAATGTTAATGCTGATACGAGTTGGCTGAGACGTTCGAGAGAAAGATATGTAAATACAAAAAGAGTGCAGGCCAAATATTTTTTTTTAAGTATTTGAATTGCATATAAAATGTCTATCCCTATTATGAATTTTTAACATGAACACACCAATAAACTTCTTGTTAAACTGAGAAGCATATTTGTCAATCATTCATATTGGGTGTGTATTTTCAGTATGCATTTATTTAAATTGCTTATGTAACTGGTCCTACTCGACCCGCTCCAAGCGGGATTCGACCTGGGCTCTCCGGCGTAGGAGGCATGCTCACTAACAGTCTCTAGCGTCAGTTGCTAGCACAGCTCTTGAGTCCAGGGGAGTGAGGTTTACATGTACAACTACGTCCGTTACACTAACCCCCCCCCCCCCCAAAACCTCACTCCCATCCGGGTCACTTGCACCAAATGTAACCAGTCCTACACAACCAGCTCCAAACGAGATTCGAACCTGGGGTCTCCGGCGTGGGAGGCAGACGCGCTAACAAGGACGCTAGCGTCAGTTGCTAGCGTGCCTTTTGAGTCCAGAGGAGTGAGGTTTACATGCACAGCTCTCACTGGTTCATTACACTCTCCCCCTAAACCTCACTCTCATCCGGGTCACGGCACCAAATGTAACCGGTCCTACTCGACCCACTCCGAGCGGGATTCGAACCGGGGTATGTGGCGTGGGAGGGCGCCCTAACAAGTACGCTAAAGAACAAGGAACAAGGAATATTCAATTAGTTAAAATGTATGAGAACAAATTGGATTTATTGATGATAAATATATAAAACTGGTTATTGTCAATTTAACACACATTCCATAATTTTTATTTTCATTCAAAAAATATTAAGCAGAAAAAACAGTTTTAAGCATTGATAATAATAATAATAATAAGAAATGTTTCTTGAGCACCAAATCAGGATCAGCGTCAGAAAGCCTGGTTTTGGGTGTGGTAAGGGGCATTTTTACTCGTATAAATATAAGCAGCACGTTACAACGGTTCATGTGCTTGTCGTCTCCTAATTAGGACCCGAAACAGATAAATAAAGTCTGCTTTTTAAAACAAAGAAAAGAAGCAGTAGTAGGAGGATGGCTAGTATGAGCCAACAGAGGGAAACTCTGTATATTCGTGTAGAATGCGCATGTCAATCTAATTTGAAGCTTGTGACATAAATGTGCACATCACCACACATTCAGCTTTGCCAAAACAGGAATAAATTACTTTTTAAAATATATTCAAATAGAAAACAAATTTAAACTGTAATAATATTTCACAATATATATATATTTTTTTTTACGGTGTTTTTGTGATCAAAAATCTCATTTATTTCAAACTTTTGACCTGTTTCTTACCCTTTTCATTTATCTTTTTTGAGTGTAAAACAGTCACTCTTTCCACTTTTGAAATTCTATCAATGGATGGGAAAGACTATGAAAAATCAATGCAAGTTCCGAGTGCTTTTCCATAAGGGGGTTGATGTGCGAGAAACCAACTGTGCCCATAAAAAAACATCCTAATTAATTGGGCTTCCATTGAACGTCCTTCTGTAAGTGTTTTCCCACAGAGCTTTGGCTAATTTCTTCTTTTATGTGGGCTTAAAGCTGCTTGTTTCACAAATGCACCAATGCCCGAGCCAGAAGTGGACTTTAAGACTTGGAACAGTCCTTCTTCGGCCTGACAGGGATCTGAACTCTTGCCATAGTAAAGTAGGAGACTGCAGAGTGGGCTTTTCTTCTATTCCATTTGGAAAGAACTGACGCAGGGGGAAACAAAGGTGTCTGCAGGCTCTTAAACGGTACACTGCCATTCCTTAATAAATCTGCCAGGACTGCCCATCCAGCAAAGCAGAAAAATAAGACATGACATGAAGACACAAATTACATTGTGATTTGTTAGAGTCTTATCTGAGAATTTAGAGCCTGCCAACAATATAAGACAAAGAGGGTGGCAAGGCTTTGAAAATAATCTTGTTAATGGCACACTCAATTTAGTCTGATGTATTTTGAATCCTTTAATCAGCTGGACAATGTGGAAAAAAAGTGGTCATTACCCTTGCAGACCCATCACTGACTTAATGTGCTCTTGCAATATAAGACATGAAAGCCTTTAAATGTAAAAAAAAAAAAAAAACTTTTGCAAAAAAAAATCCTACTTAGCTTCCTCAATAGGCAGCATTTTAAAGCATTATAGGGAAGCTCCTGACATAAAGGCTGTTCCACCAAGTAACTTATTCATGCTTCCTAAGATAACATCTTTTCACAAATTGTAAAGAGGAATCGAATAGAAAAGATAATCCCAGAAAGCACTGCAATAGATGAGAAAAGTGGCAGACAATGCTAAGAGAAATGGTTATAAATACAGTATTATTGTGAAATATTATTGATGCAAAATAACTACAGGTCCTTCTAAAAAAATTAGCATATTGTGACAAAGTTCATTATTTTCCATAATGTAATGATAAAAAATAAACT